TATTTGGTGGCAACAATTTGAAAAGTAATACACCGTTTGTAGTGAACCGACTCAAAATGCCGTATCAAGAATAATAGTCCTTCTGGCTAACGCTCCCTTGGGCTGATAATTTTTTCCTCGTCGCAGTAAAACGATGATATTGAAGCGAATTAGCAAAACAGAATAACATTTTCTGAAATAAAACCTTTGAAATAAATAAATTTCGTTCCGTTCAAATGAATCTTATCGAGTTATTTGTCTAAATTTCAACGTTTTTGCACGGCTTCTGCTGGTAAATTCTGAATAAATTATACCTTAATTATACCTTATATTAGTATAATTATACCTTAGTGAATAAGTTATACCTTATATTAGTATAAATATAATCTACAGAATACTATACAGTTTTCAATCAATATATTGTTACGTTTTTTTTTTTTTTTTTTTCCTTTCGTACAGAAGGGTTCGCGGATTTGGAGTGAATAACGACGACACTTGATGAAGTAACAAAACACACTTTATTCGCCAGTATTATTCAACACAACTCGAAAATCACGTTTTCAGTCGTCGAAGAATTACTATAAACACGTTATAACAATCAGTGACCCAGCTTTCAGGCAATCAGGCTATAACGGTGAACACAGCTTCACGGTAAAGCACCAGAATACAGCTCCCGAATTTACTCGGTCGTTCTCGGAACTGTACGTACTCTCGAGACTCTTCACGCTACAACTCGCGATGCATTCGACGATACACTAGAGTACAACTCCCGACTCCTCGGTTCGGTCGTTTCTGGAGCCAACACACTCTAAGGTGAAATCTGACGATGCACTAACTCGCGATACACTAAGAGACTCTTTCAGCGCACTCGACGACCAACTCGGCACTCACTGACTGACTGTCAACTTGATGGACTCTCACTGACTCCGCACGGACTAACTAACTGACTCTCCGCGTTCCAGCAGGGTTTATATAGCTTTCGGCTTGTGTTCGAGAACATTCTGGGCTAAACCAGTAAGAATTCGTTCCAGAAGGTACTCCATCCATCTGTGGCATATCACCAAATGTCGCCAAATGAGCGGTTTCTCGCCAAATGCGATAACCCTGCATTCCCTTGCCATTTTCTGGCAACCCTAAACCTGCTTTCCGCGTAATGGCAAACTGCACATTGAGTTGATCAATGTTAACGAATTTCGCTTACTGCGCATGCTCAGTGTTGTACCGTTGACGTGGGAGAAAATACTGGCGGCTAAGCAGAAACAACCCTACAAGCCTGTTCGTCATGCAGGTCTTATCGACTGTTTACAATTGCAATACTATGTAATTTTGTTCAATGCATTTGCTTCTTTTCATTAATTTTGGTTTATTTTGTTCAAAAGCATGATAATAATGTCTTTGACTTTTATTCAGTAATTTAAACTGGATATATTCCTTAATTTGTTAAAGTATATACAATTGAAACGTATGCTAAATAATCAGTTGCTTTTATTCCTCAGAAATATAATGAATAGAGTACATTTAGCTAATATATCTTGTAATGTTTTCTGTTTTGTAATCACTCTTTAACCGAAAATTTGCATAGTTTACAATCTATATTTACACTCTAAGTAATGAAGCAACTTACAAAGTTTTAAAACTCCGACCCAATAACAGGATATAAACCACACACCGTATTTGTCTTCTTTTAGAATTGGGCCAAAGTCGTAATTGCGCCAAATTCTCTTCTGGGCATGCGCAGTATGCAAAATTCGTTTAACATTGATCAACTCAATGTGCGGTTTGCCATTACGCTTACGGGAAAGCTATCTTACCGTGCCTAGACATTTGGTAACAACATTGTAAGGTTTATCCTAAGTTTATAACAGTTATTTTTAAGTTATCGCCCTTTCCTATCTGTTTTAATTTCAACTTACAATTCCTTAGCAGAATGAATTTTTAGAATCGCGTTTTATACAAATGAGAAGGAGTAGTATTTAAGTCGAAGTTCCACTCGGAGTTTCTGAATAGCGCGCGTTTGGCTTTTGTCTACGTCTCTCTAAGCTATTACTACGCTCGGTCGTATTACGTGCCCTTATAACTCCGCTAGATAATTCAATTAGGGGCCAACTAGTTTAAATTTATGTTAGCTTCGGCTAAAGCTCTTTAGTTAGTCATTAGGTAAGTTTTTATTTCTTGCACTTTTGAGTTTAAGCCAAAGTGGAGGCTTTGCTGTACGCCCTGAGAAAGGGACCGACTGTATATCTTTATATCTTTATTGTGAGCAATAAAGGGTAATTAATCCTCCTTGAGTCTACGTTTCTATTCCTGAACTTAAGCGATTATTCGCTTAGCTGTTCACCAGGTTCCTCAACACTTAGTTAATAGTTAAAAGAAAGAAACCCTACAATACATTCGAATTATTTTTTTAAAAAATCATATTTTTTAAAATAAACTTTACATTACAGATTAAATTAACTGAGATTATGAATAAAACCGTTGTCGATTTCTACAGACATCAGGTTATTTTTGAAACAGGAAGAAGTGAAAAATGAGCAACGCCTTTGCCGGGAACCGAAACACGGACCTCTGGAATACACATCCAGCGTGCTGACCACTACACTACGAAGGCGGGAGAAATACCTTATATACTTCCCCTTTTAAAGGGTGACTGCGCTTTTAGGGGAGCCAATCGCCAAATCCTAGGTGTGGAGAATCATCATCCCCCACCCTCTCAGTTCGGGCGCCACTGTAGAGATATTAGTGTTGCGTACATACGGGTTCGTTACGAAAGGAATGCACACGTCCGATGAAAAATGAACAAAATTCATTATTATCACAACAAATATGCTTAAATTTCTCCAAATATTCGTGCGGTATTACAATATCTCACTGTAGTTATCTTTTAACTACTCAAAAGTTCAAGAGAACTTAATTTAAAAACAGCTAGAGAAAGTTAATCCGCGAATTCGCTACAGGCAACAAGAGCAGATTTCTAAACAAACTCTTAAAACAACAACAAACTAACTAAATAATAACTGAATTGAGAGGTTTGCCTCCTTTTTATAAGATTTTAAATCATGCGCGAGAATTTTCTGGAACTTTCTAGAAATCAAAAAGAGATATTTATTTATGAAATATTAAATGCACGCGCTCTTGTATTTTTAGTTTTCCGGCTTAGCTTTCTTTTAATGTTCATCACGCGCTACACTGCGCGAGAAATAAAACGATTTAATTTATAATTCAACTAACATTAGCTATTTAAATACCAAATCCGTAACATTAGGTTATTTTTGAAACAGGAAGAAGTGAAAAAAGAGCAACGCTTTCGCCGGGAATCGAATCTCGGAACTCTGGAATAGGCGCCCAGTGTGCTCACCACTACACTACGAAGGCTGGAAAAATACTTTATAAGTTATATGAAAAACAGTAACTGTAATCTAAAGAGTAAAGAATAAATTTTTATTACTGTCTTGTGGAGACATTAGGATTTTTTTTAAAGCAAGAGAGAGGAAAAATATGCAATCGCTTTCGCCGGGAATCGAACCACGGACCTCTGCAATACCGGCTCAGTGTGCTGACCACTACACCACGAAGGCACGCTAGGAAAGCGGGAGAAGTACCTTATAGTCTACTGAAACAAAGGACACAACAAAGTTCCCACACTTAACAAGAAAGCTCAAAAATACTTAAAATTAAGGTCAGATGATTAATATAAAATGAACTTCAGTTTTTACTTCCTTGTACGAAGTAAAAAGGAAGTATTGTAATCGCAAAAAGTTTCAGGCAGCATATTTTAACGAAAATATCAATTTTGACTGCAATCGAATGCAATTTAACGATGTTTTTGCGTGATATCTGTACGTAAGGACAGAATAAAATACTGTTTTCCTGCAAAAAAATTATAAAACTGCTTTAAAATGAATTCTGAAGAGAATTTTTCGTGGCGTCTGTGTACGTACGTACGTATCTCGCATAACTCAAAAACGAGTAGCCTCAGAACGTTGAAATTTTATATATAGGACTGTTATAACATGCCAGATGTGCACCTCGTATTTTGGTTTCAATCGGCCGCACCAAACGTATATAAATATATTTATATAAATATCCGCTCTGTTACCCGGCTCAGTGATCTCAGTTTCTTTACTCTTATATCATTGTAAATTGTACATTTTTTGCTTTAACAATGATTGAATTATGTTGTTCTTATCTTCCGGTTAAGGTTTTTATGCCTTTAGTAAATCTCTATGCCATATTTTTAGAATTATCAACAATTTTAAAGTTGTTTAAGTGTCGCTAAGCCTAATACTTCTCTTGATGGCGACCATTGTTTGTTTACATTTGAAACAGCAGGATAGTGGATTTGTTGCCAATCTAGAGAAACTTAGCTTCGCAACAGCAAAGATAACGCATTCATTTATTATTGCCAATTAAGTTAAGCTTAATCCTTTCTGGAATTTTTTCGAGGAAATAAGTGTTTAAGATTTACTTCGTAATTTTTAATGTAGATATTTTGAGTTCTTATGTATTTCTGCATTCTCGCGAAGTGAGAACTGAATGAATTGAATGAGAAATACTCAATCATCTGTGAAAAACTGTTTCTTTTTTGTTTTGTTTGTTTAATTTCTTTTATACCTCGTTCTAGCTTTGTTATAGTATTTGAATAGAACATGTGGCAACGATTAGATAATTCTATTCTTTAAATGATATAAATTTTTGTGCATTCTGAGTTAGAATATGAACGAAATATAATACTGTTAAGTGAACCTAGCGCCAGAGTAGCTATGGTAAACAAAGTGGATTTTAAAGAATGCATTTATTCTATTGTGGTTTGTGCGCTGTCTACGAAGTAGATTTAATTCAATCCAATAAGTTTAAATGAAATGCAAGAAAAAATTCGTATAATTTAATATTCCGTACAAGGAAGTCATGTGGTGTACACATCAGATTTTTTCTTTTCCGGGTCAGATTTTTTCTTTTCAGCTTTTATGAAATATTATAAATCGCTGTGCTCTTTTCAGTATTTATTTTTTATTTTTATTTAGTCTCAGGCGATGTAAAGAAGGTGATTTTTAACTATAAATTTCACTTCTTGGACGCTATGCAGTACTACCTAACAGAAGTTACAAAAGTGATAACTCCTCTCAGAATTCAAAGGTTACATGTAGGTAATTTTATTTTCTACAATAACTATTATTCTAAAATCACTGCTTCAAAGCTTCATCAGATTTATATAAATAAAATTATTTCAAGTCAGTAAATGGAATGCGTATATATGTGTATTCCATTCTCGATCCTAACAATATCCTGCAGAATTAAAACTACTTAAACCAAAGGAAAGGATATAATGCGCTAAAAATAGTCTTATTATTTTTTTTTTTTTTTTTATTTTTATTTTTTAAATTTTGACACAAATTGCAATTTATATTTTATTACCATGATATTTACTGCTAGCTACATCTGCATTAGTTTCATATATGTGTGTTGTGACCACTGTGATCAAGATTTTAAAAATGAAGGAATATTAAGAAAATAAATTTTAAAAATTCTGAAAGGTTTGAAATTTTAAATTACCTCCAAAGGGGAGTTTTCTTTAACATTTTGTCTGTTACCTTTATTTATTAAATATCACTTCTGTGCACTTAAACCATAAAATTCAGTTCAACAGCAATATCGCAAAATTAATAAAATAATTTAATTTTAAATAGTTTTTCGATTTTGCGCCGATTCACTACAAACGGAAAATCACTTTTCAAACTGTTGCGACAAAGTATTATCGCTCTGTGTTATATTTAAAGAAATTAAATAATGAAAAATCTGCATAAATGTATGTATATTTCTGGCATTGTTATAAAACAACGGTACCTAGAGCCATCGAATTTTGAAAGACGTAATCCTCCTACGAAAATGGTCATGTGGAATACCCAAATTTGAAATTTGGAATTTGTTTTATGATCGATTTCCTATTTTATAAAACTTTAAAGAATTTTTGATTAACAAAGTAAAGAATTTCAAAGCGAGCAATGGCAATGTTATGCAGAAAAAACATTTTTTATCTCCAGCGGGTGAGTCTCTGTATCGGAAATTCTAAAGATATGCTCATTTTAAAACTATTTTGCGATATTGCTGTTGAACTGAATTTTATAGTTTAAGTGCGAAGAAGGTGATATTTAATAAATAAATGTAACACACAAAATGTTAAAAAAATGAAACTTTAAACGTAATTTAAAATTTAAAACATTTCAGATTTTTTTTTTCCCCTAGTGGAAGGTACACACTCTTTGGCTTAATAAACTTAAGTGTAAGATGTAGAAATAAAAGAATAGTGAATTATAAACATCAGCGAAAATATCTCTTGTTCATTTGACATTCATAACATCACGTTTGTTGCCCCCCATGAGACCAAACATTTGGTGTTCATAAGATCAACTTGTTACCACTATTTCTCTTGCATTGTCTATAATATTAATACTGAAATATGAATACTGAAAATTGTGATAATGAATATAAAGAAAATAAAGGCATCGATATTTAAGGAAACATATATATATATATAAATATATGTAATAATAAAATTCCATAGTCAAGATTACACTTAAAGTTCTAACTATGTTCTTTTTATTTTTAATGGCGACGTTCTCCTATTTGAAAGTACGTGGAATTAAATCCGCAGCCCCGTAGTAAAGTTGTTTTTCCCGCCTTTTTCTACACGTACAGTTATAGAATGTTCTGGAAGTATTTTAAGCGAACTGGAATGGCTGACGAGGCTGACGTCATTTCTTGGAGGCTCCGCTTTTCCAGAGGCTATAAAAAGACTCAAAATAAATAGACAAAATATAATAAGATATATAAAGCTATAAAAAGACAAAAGGAATATCGGGGCTTTTTCTTAAATGTCACGATACAGTAAACTTCATACAAAAAGTTATTAGTAATTCTTTTGATTTACTCCGGATATCTGATATTTGTAACTGCTATTTCCCCTGACCAATAATAAATGGATCCTGTTTTTTAAACTTATCGTCTGATAATTTAATCTACGACTACTTTTATATTTCTTCAGCAACCTATTTATTTCGGACACAAGCTGGTACGTCACATATATATATACGATAATATATCGTATAAAATAAAAAAATAACCTGCTTTTGGAGAAGAATTAAAAAAATAATTTTGAAAGAAAGATAATAAAAAATTAATATGCAAAGAAAGGTAATAGAAAAATTAGTATTCAGAGAAAGATAATACAAAATATTACTATTCAAAGAAAATTAATAAAAAATCATCAGTATTCAGAGAAAGATAAACCAAGTGAAAAAAGAATTAGGATTCAAAAAAGGGAAATCACGGTAGAAAAGCTTTAAATAAGTAACTAAGGCTATATCCTTTTAAAGCATACCAACACGTTTTGCAAGAATAGAACTTGTGTTTTTTATTACTTGTATACCTTTACTTTTTTATTTTTTATTTATTTTATTTTATTTTATTTTATTTTATTTATTTTTATTTATTTATTTATTTATTTTTATTTTTTTATTTTTTTATTTTTTATTTATTTATTATTTATTTTTTGTTCGAATGCAAGAAACAGAGTTTTATTTTGTTGTCCGAAGTAAAGGAAGTATTGCAACTGTAAAACATTTCGCGTATCATATTTCAACGGAAATATTCATTCCGATTTTTCCTGAACTCATTTGGAAGATTTTTTTTGCATGAACCTTATATATACGGATAGATAAAAGAACTTGTTTTTCCAAAACATTCTGAAATGGATTTAAAATAGACTTGAAAGCGATATTTTCGTGACATCCGTACATCACGAACAGAGCTGCGTATAGGCGTTATGCGAGATACATAAATACCTACGTACGTATGTATGTATTTCGGTGTAACTCAGATATGATTAGCCGTTGAACGTTGAAATTTTGTATTACGGACTGCTATAACATCCATTTGTGCATCTTTCTTATCACAGTCGACAGAACCATCCCTTTAACCGGCTTAAAAGTCCTTACACGACCTTCATTATTGCCATCGTTGGTCGTTGTGATTATGATTGTGAGTACTTCTAATAACAGAAGTGTTTTAAATCATGCAAATATTCCTGTTTTGGCAATATCAAATTTTTCAAAAAATTATTTTTGACAAATAACAAAATCAAATTTTAAAGTAGTTTCCCATATGTACTTATATTTGGGAAAATTTTTATAGTCGCTTATGAAAAATCAAAATTATAAGAAGCTTGGCTTTAGTACAACAAAATTTGACGTGGATATTTATTTAACTTCAAAATTTGCAATTTTTGATGTCATTTTCAACTTGCCTTAAGTCAGGGGTCGCCAAACTTTTTTGATCATCGCCCCCTATATAATTTTTCGAAATCTCCATAGACCCCCACAAAGGTAATTTTCAGGTAATTAAAATAAAACTATATATTAGTCTAAATATTTAATAAATCAGAAACAGTAAGTAAAGTAGCTACAGATTTTTTACTTCTTAATGAGATGAGTGTGCCTGGTGTTTCTTGGCAAGGTTCGCTATATTGAGTTCTAAATTAGTCAATTTTAACCGTAAATCCCCTCGAATTTTAACTCCACATTTAATTGTATTTCTGTTTTTAGTTAAAATTGAATTAACGTGACTGAAACCGGCTTCAACCATACACGAACTTGGAAACGCCAGCATAAATGGCTGAGCCATTTCATAAAGTTTTCACATATTTTTGCTTTATATTTATATTAGTCCAAAATTTATGTATTGTCAAATTTTTAATAAGCGTTTTTGCTTCAAGATCATAATATTCCAATAATTAGTAATTTTAAGTCATTATTATAAAATATTTAAATTTACGTACGCCAGTTAGATATGTGTGATTTGAGTATTAAGAACTGTTTTTCCTTGAGAAGACCCCCAGATCGACCCCTTTGTTTTAGACCCCCATAGACCCCTAGGGGTCTATATAGATCACTTTGGCGACCCCTGCCTTAAGTAGTCGGTTATTCAAGTTGCAAAAATTCGAGAAAATAAGTTTAAATGAAGTTCAACAAAAAATGTGTATAATCTAAATAGTCCGTACAAAAAAAAAATCATATGGTTTCCATATCACTTTTTGTTTGCGGGAAGGAGGAGGTAGGAGTATATTAAAGCAGCAATCTGACGAAGGTACTAAACCTTATGCTGAAATAGTTTTCGAATTATTTTGTAAAAATATCTAATGTGGACACCATATCACTTCCTTGTACGGCCTATAAAATTATACACAATTTTTGCTGCACTTCAATTAAACTTATCTACTCGATTTTTATCAGAGATATACTTCTCATTTAATCAATTCATTTCTCACTTCGCAGCAAGGCAAAAATACATATAAACTTAAAAACAAATTCATTAAAAATTGTAAATTACAGAAAAACCTAAAACACCAAATAGAGTAAGAAAAAACAGTTTTTACAATTAGAATTAGAATTTCTAAGCAAAAACAAGCAATTCGACCAGCGGATAGGACAACAAAATTTTAGTGCGCAAAGTTGAAATTTAACTTTTCGTCCCACTGGGCAGAAAGGCCCTGAAGTTGGTGCACCAACCGACTTTATCCACTATATTACTCAGAGCTTCAACGTAAACAAACAGCCCCCACGTTATGCCTAGAGACACTTAAACTATAAATTCTTGATAATTCTACAACTATTGCATGCAGATTAACTAAAGGCATAAAAACCTTAACTGGAACGTAAGAACAACATAATTTAATCCCTTTTAAAACAAAAAATGCCCTATGTACCAGTATATACTAATAAAAAAACAAAATTTCAGCGCTCTATGGCCATTCGTTTTTGAGATATGCGAGACACACACATGCGTGCGTATGTGCAGACTTCACAAAAAAAAAATCTCTTCGTAATCTATTTTAAATCCATTTCACAATTAGTTTGTGAAAAACGAGTCCTTTATTCTGTCATTATTTACAAATGTCACCCAAAAAAGGCATCTAAATGGATTGGAAAACGACCAAAACGGGTATTTTGTCTGAAATATGACACCCGTAATTTTTTGAGATTACAATACTTCCTTCACTTCGTGCAAGGAAGAAAAAAATAAAAATTAAAAAAAAGGGGGGGGGCTGAAAGGTTTCAGATTTTAAATTGCGTCCGAAGGTGCGTTTTTTTAACGTTTTGGTGTGTTACCTTTACTTATTAAAAATCATGTTCTACATACTCAAACCATAACATTCAATTCAACAGCAATATCGCAATATAATTTTAAAATGACCCTATCTTTAGAATTTTTGATACAGAGTCTCGCGCGCTGGAGATAAAAATGTTGATTTTTTTTGCGTACACCGTTGCCATTGCCCGCTTTGAAATCGTTTAGTTTGTTAAACGAAAATTCGTTGAAGTGTTATAAAATATGAATTCGACAAAAAAAGAAATTTCAAATTCAAATTAGGGCTTCCACATGCGCATATTCTATGGAAGACTACGTTATTCAAATTTTAATGACTATGGGAGCCGTTGTTTTAGCAAAATGCGAGACACATACAAACATTTATGCAGATTCTTCATTATTTAATTTCTTTAATTATAATACAGGGCGATAATATTTGGTGGCAACAATTTGAAAAGTGATTCGCCGTTTATAGTTTTCAAAGCAAAATGCCAAAACGAAATTAATAGTCTTATTTTTAGTCCAATACGGACAAATTACCGTATTGGACTAAAAATAAAGGAAAAGAAAGAAATAAGGAAAAAAAATTGTTATTGGGGGTTGTGATGGTTAAGATTACCTCTATTTATCTCTCTGTTATACAAATAGTAGTTCTTTTTTACAAGTAAATTTAAAGTTGAAATAAAGCAGCGTGCATTTTTACGCCGGGACCCTGCTCTGCAAGTAGGATTTTCGTTTCTATATTAATAGAAGGAACAGTTAAAACTACACTTGCGAGTGGTATAAAAATACCAGTATCATTATAGCGGGACATCGGCATTATTCCATTTTGTTTAAATAAACAGCTGAAAGGAATATCTTAGTGAATACGACTGTACGCAGTCCGAGACACGCCTAAAACTACATGGCTTATGGTAAATTTTAAGCTGAGCGAACATTTATATCCAAATGGAAATTTAAAAAAAAAAAAATTATGTGATGTGATTTATTGCGTTGAAGCTGAATTAAACCCGCAGTATCTCAAAACATGCAGGATGTCTATAAATAATGAGTCCAGTCTGAGATTGTTCATAAAATGAAGCTTTATAGTACAGCAATGAACTTTTATGCTTCAAAGACAGTCTATTTTGTACAGCTTAGGATATGTCTTCACATATGCACTATTATGTGCAGGTAGGATGTACAAATGATATTCCATTTTGAGCATACCTGCAAAAAATTGCAATTTTTTATTCAAAATTTTCCAAGATATACGTGAATTTACATATTGGCGCGTTTTGAAATTTGGCATATTGGTTATAAGCGATAATAACGCCAAATTTGGTTTAGGCACTATAAAATTAACGCCAAATTTGTTAAAATTATATGAAAATATGAGAGATGACATTTTCTCGGCTCGTCTACAATGAAAAAAAGGAAAGGAGAATAGGTTGCTATAAATTGAGAAGTTCGCCAAGTGAATTATTCTTAGCGCAACTGAAAAAAAAAAAAAAATGCGCCAAGAGAAATTTTTAAATTTTTCCAGAAATTTCTCACCAAAAATTATGAAATTTAATATCTCGACATAATTTGAGTCGTAGAATCGAAATATGGAAAAAAAATTGGCATGCCATTTCAGAAATAGTCAATTTTGTGTCAAAATACCCACATTAGAATTTTGCTATTTATAAAAATAATATATATATATATATATATATATGTCCCAAGTCGCGCTTTCGAGACATGGAAAACGCAATTTGAATTTCTTCAATTGGCCCAGTAGAACGGGAGATATAGAACAGTGCTTTTTTTTTTCTCCGTTTATTATACGTGTCAATTAAATTGTTTTCTATAATCATTTTTAAAAGGATGATTTGTTTTTGATTTAGCCTGTGTAATAAAGCTGTTTCTAACTATTTACAGTTCTGGGCAAATGTAAGATGAAATTCTTGGTACAAGCTGAATAAAACTTCGGCGAATCTTTACATTATGGTAACTTGGCGATTTTTTGGCGAAACTTTGGCGACTAACCCTGCTACAGCAACCTGCTAGTTTTTTTTTTTTTTTTTTGGTCGCCATTTTGTTTTTACGAAGTAAAGATTTTTTTTTTTTTTTAAACTCAACATTTTTTCCAACAATCTGCTAGCCGAATTACGCTTATGCTAGAACTTTTATGCAACAAAAATGCTTCATCATGACGAAGATTAGGTGCGAAATCGGGAGAAAGTGCAGAATCGCCCACTGCTTGCCGCGTTTTTAAGAATTGCATATACACGGTATCCATGTACACGTCGACCTATTTTCACTTAAAAAAACATCCCAGAATTGCACAAAAATGGCATTGCGCACATTCTTGACTTTATCCATGTACACATCGACCTATTTTCACGTAAAAAGTCAAAGAAAAAGTGACAAAAATCCAATCCTTCTTACTCTTGTAAAACGCGCCAAACAAATAAGTGGGCGATTCTGCACTTTAGCAGCGAAATTGTTTCTAAGTGCTTATTAGCCCGGAAAATGTCACATTACATGTTTCATAATCTTTCATTTCTCTGAGACAAAATAATCTGTGATTCGAACTGTGTACTTCTCAGATTATTGCTAAGGTCCTAGCGGGCCCACCAGCGGCCGAGCGGTAACGTCGCTGAACACTGGTAGTTCGGTCCGAGGTTCGAATCCCGCAAACGGGCTGGCTAAATGGGCGTTTTCGTGGTTTTCCCCATGTGTAACGTGTATACGAGCCAGTTTCCCTTAGAAAGTCCTCCACGAAGGCATCCCTCCCCTTAGGCAGATAGCCCTAGTGTGCTTTGCCATAATTAAATACACCAACACCTTAGAAAGTCCTCCACGAAGGCATCCCTTCCTTAAGCAGATAGACCTCGAGTTCTTTGCCGTAATCTAATAAACCAAACCAATAAGGTCTTAGCTAGTAACCTTTATCGCCTTACCAAAATGTCGCCAAACTACCTGTTACCATATTCTAAAGATTAGCCAATACTTCTAATACTGTGATATGAAATAAGAAGGAAGTGCTTTAGTATAAACATGTTTCCATAATAATTGTTACTGTGGAATTAATGAAAAATATTGTTTTATAGCTTCGACAAGTCTCTTTAACCGACCCGCGAACTGTTTTATTGCTCACGCTTGTTGATAAGGCTAAACTGAAAACGAATGTTGTAGTTGGACAGAAAGGAGCTAACTTGGAGGAAGCAATTATATCTCTATACACGCTCATCAATAGAGGGGGATTTGCCCTGCAGTTTATTCATCCCGTCTCCAAGGAGGTAATGGTTTCATATTTTATATGTAATAAATATATGTAATCTATTTCGATTCGCATATTCAGTTTAAAATATTAACCTCCAATTAAGTGTTGTTTCCTTCTTTTATCTTCTATCTTTCTTTTCTTTTGTTTAATTATTAAGTTTATATTATTATTAAGTTTCGCATTATTAACTTATTTAACACAGAACTTACTAATTATTAACTATTATTATTATTACGTATTATTAACTTTTTACTGAGCTTCGTATGATAAAATATGTTTAATCAACACAAACTGACATTAAAATATCATTCAGAAATAAACTCATTAAGCAGTTTAGTTACAGTATCAGAAGTTCTGAAGATAATTTATAAGGTATTCAATAATTCTGAAGTAAACTTATAAGGTATTTTCTCCCTCCTTCCATGCCTTCGTGGTGTAACGACAGCACACTAGGAGCATATTCGAGAGGTCTGGGTTCCAGTCCGGCAAGTCAATGCACATTTTACACGTCTCCCTGTTTCAAAATAACCCTAATGACTCTACAAACTTATTCAGCAATTCTGAAATAAAATCATTCAGCAATTCTGAAATATATTCATACAGCAATTCTGAAATTCAATTCATACAGCAATTCTGAAATATATTCGTTTAGCAAGTCTAAAGTAAACTCATTAAGCAAGTCTCGAATAAATTCATTAAGTAATTATGCTGTAAAACTTATTCAGCAATTCTGAAACATGAAATAAATTCTTTCAGAAATTCTGAAATAAATTCATTCAGCAATTATGAAGTAAAACTTATTCAGCATTTCTGAAATATGAAATAAATTCTTTCATCTATTCTGAAATAAATTCATTCAATAATTCTGAAATCTGAAATAAATTCTTTCAGCAGTTCTAAAATAAATTCATTCAGCAATTCTGAAATAAATTCATTAAGCAATTACGAAGTGAAATTTATTCAGCAATTCTAAAATATGAAATACATTGTTTCAGCAATTCTGAATTATGAAATAAATTCTTTGAGCAATTCTGAAATAAATTCATTCAGTAATTCAGAAATCTGAAATAAATTCTTTCAGCAGTTCTAAAATAAGTTCATTTAGCAATTCTGAAATCTAAAATCAATTCATTCAGCAATCCTGAAATATATTCATTCAGCAATTCTTAAATAAATTCATTAAGCAATTATGAAATAAAACTTATTCCGGAGTTCTGAAATTAATCCATTTAGCAATTCTTAAATATGAAACAAATTCTTTCAGCAATTCTGAAATAAATTCATTCAGTAATTCTGAAATCTGAAATAAATTCTTTGAGCAGTTCTGAAGTAAATTCGTTTAGCAATTCTGAAATATGTAATAAATTCTTTCAGCAATTTGAAATAAATTCATTCAGTAATTCTGAAGTAAATTCATTCAGCAATTTATTGGCAATGTAGAAAATATATGCATTTTATAATAATAACGGAACAACGTTACAACGTTTAACTCTGTTTCTTAGTAATAATTAGCAAAATGTAGTACATGACATCGAATAACAGAAGGTTTACATTCTTCGCAGCTAAAAGAAGTTTATATTAAATCTTTAACATTTCATTTATTCGGTTTAATAATATTAATTACTATATTAACATTCCTTTCACTCAACTTTCCCATATTTCACTTTAAAACTTTCTTCTTAATAAAATTTTAGAACTTCTTAGAAATTTCCGGTATCATATTTCAACGGAAATATCGATTTTGTGAACCCCTCAAATACGAGTCCAGTATGCTTCTAATTGCACCATGAAAGCATGCGGAAAGGAGGGAGAAAATATCTTATGACGCAATATATATATATATATATGTAATATATTCAAACTCAGAAGCAATGCCCAGGAAATTGGAGGCGAAAGCAGATTAAATTTCAGTTTTATTTACAGCAACTTGTTGCGACTACACACAAGTTCGCACATTAAATGTGCCTGTTTCAAAGGGCTTACATTTTTGATAACTAAGCAGCCTGTAAGGATACTGAAGAGGCTGAGGCCTATACTGATTTGGTTGAAATGGCCTAGCAGAATATCTAGGTAGAGCTGGCCTCGGAGCAAAGAAATCTGGAATCACTTCTTGCACTTTCGACTCCGTCCTGTGGCACTGAAATTGGTAAAAGCTTTCGAACCATCCCGGTCCATTCTTTTGGTGTATTTATTTTCTGGATAGTGAGCAGCATATGTAAACTTTTTGGAATAGGCACATTTAATATGCCGACTTGTGTGTAGCCGTAACATATTGCTGAAAATAAAACTGAAGATTTAATCTGCCTTCGCTTCCAATTTCCTAGTCATTATGGATTAACACTTCTACGCCATCAAAAATCCTGCTCCTGAATATATTGCATATATATAATTCATAATAATTTATAATAAAACTTTCCATATACCATCTCCAAGGAACCTCATTTGAAGCTGAAGTGTCTTTCACGAGAATGGCGGTCATAAAAGCATTTCTGAACGCGCTCTTCATGGATCTTAAGATCAGAAGGTTAACTTGTATAATCAGTAGTTATAGTTAAAAAGACAAGTATTGTTTTCCAACCTTCTTTTTTAATTTTGAACAGCAGTAAGTGTGCATCGATTTTTTTTTCCTTTTTCAGATTTTCTCTATCGATTTTATGTATATTTTATTTCATGTTATTTTATTTTATTTTACTCTACAATTTTATTTTATTTAATCCCTACGATTATTTTAATTTTTAATATCTCTACGATTCTCTCTCTACGATTTTAACAATCGTATGTCACACGTAATGCTTTCGTAAAAAATAAATAATTAAACATTTTCATTTGCTGATATTAATGGCATTTATTTTGCTTTCTCCCTCCTTTGTTTACCTTTCCTTCCTCCATCGATATCGATATGTCATGTGAAAATTCCAAGTCACAATCAATCCAGTCATTGCGACCTTTACTATCATTGATTACTCAAATGATTGCTCAGTTGAAATCTTTGAGATTGCATACAGGGAAGTGCTTGATTAATAAGTAGAACTGTGGTGGATTAAGTCTCCAAAGCAGCGGTTCTCAACCTTTTGACTAACGGGTGCCATCTAAAAAAAAATTAAAACCTTTAGTACCACCACTACAAAGTACCACTACCACCACCACCACTCTTGAACAAAGCCCAGATCGCATAAATTTACGAGTGTTAGAGAAAAACCTCAATAAGGATGTTGGAGTTTTAATTTTTGAATTTGATAGTTAAAAATTCTTTTGTTTCTTTGAGTATATATTTTTCTCCTGCGTACCACCGGTTGAGAACCCCTGCTCTAGAGCAATGGTTCTTAACACTTTTTTGCTGTATACACGCCTTTCATCACTTCTAGCCGATCATTGCACTCCTTTACAAAACTCAAATATTTATTTAAATTTAAATTATTTAAATGTGTTTTATAAATTAAATAAGAAAAGCTATTAAAAATTTTGACAAATATCAAAACTTGAATAAAAATAGTTTTTACTTTCTCGTACAAAATAAAGGAAATATTGTAATAGTGAGAGATTTCGTGTCTCCTATTTCAACGGAAATATCCATTTGGACCGTTCCCGAATCCATCTGGATGATTCTTTTGCGGGACGTCTGTACCTACGAACAGAATAAAAGACTCGTTTTTCTAAAGCGAATTGTAAAATGGATTCAGAAGGATTTTTTTTTTTTTTTTTTTTTTTTCGTGACGTTTGTAATACGTTTGAACGTATGTATGTGTCTATCATAACTCAAAAACGATTAGGCGTAGAACGTTGAAATTTCGTATATGGACTGCTGTAACATCTAGTTGTGCACCTCCCTTTTTCTTGCAATCGACCACACGAAACGTATATATTGTTACGAAATGCCCAGCTGCGGTAAAACAGCTTTTCCCGCAACGAGGGTTTACGGTTTCCAGAAAATGGCACCGGAAGGCAGGGTTGCCATATTTGACGTGAAATCGCCCATTTGGCGACAAAATTGGCGATATGCCATGGACAGATAGAGAACATTCTGGAACGAAATCTTACCGGTTTGGCCTAGAATGTACTGGAAGACAAGCCAAAAACTATATAAACCTTGCCCGTACGCGGAGTAGCAGTCTCGCTGTCAATCGAGTTGATCGTCAGTCTAGTGTTGAGTTGATCGTCGACTGTATCGCGAGAAGTTAACTTTCTATTTTGTGTACCGAAGATTTGATCTTCCTGCCCGTTTGCGCCGAATTACTTGTTTTTAGTGGAAACTCAAATTTAAATTGGAAAAAAAAAAAAAAAAAAAAACTGTTTTTAACCTGTATTTGGTGTGTTAGGTTTTTTTGCATTTTGCAATTTTTAATAAAGATGTTTTGAATTTTATATATCTTTGCTTTGCTTGCAGTGAGAACTAAATTGATTAAGTGAGAAATACATGTCTAATGAAATTTTAGGAAATTAAGTTTAAATGAAGTGCAGAGAAAAACAGAAAAACTGTACATAACTTAATAAGCCGTACATGGAATTCATGTGGTGTCCACACCAGATATTTATATTTTTCAAACAGTTATCAAATGAGCATATTTTCATATTCATGAAAATCACATGCTGTATACATGTATATTTTATATATGTATATAAAATATTGTAAGAGACGTAATTTTTAATTATATGTTAATTATTATTCATTGATACTTAATAATTTTGGCAAAAGTTTCGAACGTAACAAATAATACTACGACTAAACGCATATGCTTTATTTATATTGTAGAGACATTAGGTACTGTTGAAGCAGGAGTACATGAAAAATGAGCAATGCCCTCGAAGGAACTCGGACCTCACGAATACCGGCCGAGTGTGCTGACCACAACACCACGAAGGCATGTTAAGAAGGCGAGAACTCCCCCCCCTTTTAATGGGCGACTGGGAATTAAGGAACCCATTCGCCATATCCTGGTGGTGGAGAATCATCATCCACCACCATTTTTTGATAGGGCGCCACTGTAGAGACATAAGGTATTTCTGAAGCAGAAGTAAATGAAAAATAAGCAATGCCCTCGCCGGGACTCGAACCTCGGACTTCTCGAATATGCGCCTAGTATGCTGGGCACTACACCACGAAGGAGTGCTAAGAAGGCGGTAGAAATACTTTATAACATTCATATATTTAACTTTAAATATATCAAGTAAAATCATTTCTTTTATTGTTTAATATTCATTTTTCATTTAATACGAAGAAATCTTAATTTTCCATCCCACAATTTTTATTTACGCCTCACCATAAGTAATATGCTTCTTTTTTAAACAGTTTTCATACCAAAAATTCATTTACCATACACTTATTAGAATTTATTCACTTTTACCTACATTTTTCATTGTCTGTTTTCCAGAACTATTTAGTCGCAGCCAGGCCTCGTAGCCTGTACGTGCTGACTTCTACTGGAGACTTAAAAGCCGTAGAGAAGCCTGTTCCAGATTTTGAAGACACCAATGAAGTTGATGGCTTAGTTCAAATATTACCACAAATAAGTGAAAATGTTCTCCAGAACGCTGATGACGGAGAGGTGGAAGAAGAAAAAGAGGAGAAAGGAATGACACCAGGTTCGGATACATTTCACAATTTATAAATTAAAACTTCATTGCTTTTAACTCTTAGGAAACCGAAGCTTGTGTTAACCGAACCGACCGAAATGGCTTTCCAGTTTCAGAGCAATTTGCTCTCCTCCCCATACGTTAACGCACATTAGAGGTGTGACTATTTCAAATGACACTCTTTCGCTTCAGACTTCGTGATTTCTTTGGCCTCTATTAAATATTAATACGTTATACAAATCTGCAACAAAAAAGCTTCTTACTTCCTTGTACGAATTAAGGAAGTATTGTAATCACGAAAAATTCCGGGTACCATACTTCAACGAAAATATCCATTTTGACCGATATCGAATGCAATTAAACGATGTTTTCGCGTGATATCAGTACGTAAGAACAGAATAAAGGACTCTTTTTCCCAAAGCGAATTATAAAACTAATTTAAAATAGATTGAGAAGAGATTTTTTCGTGGTGTCTGTACGTGCGTTTGTACGTACGTATGTATCTCGCATAACTCAAAAACGAGTGTCCTCAGAACGTTGAAATTTTGTATACAGGACTGCTATAGCATGTAACTCTGCACCCCTGTTTTTGGAGGCAATCGGCAGTACCAAAAGTATATAAATATATAGAAGATAATTCTAAATTGTTTTTGATAGTACTCATCCAGATGGGCAATAATTACCATAGAGTATGGAGTCGCATTCCACTCTGAGAGACAGAAAAGAGGAATATTATAATTCCAACCTGAACTTCCAACAGTGTTGGGAAAGCGAATGAACGAGACCAAAAGTTGCGCAATTAGTTTAGTGAAAAACTCACAGAGAATGCGCAAAACGGATAAAACCGAAAACTTGGCGTTCGAGTGTTAATTCGAGCTCAGAGTTTGACGGCAAACACTCAAATGCACATCTCTGGTTGGCAAAATCTCAACCTCGCAAACGATTCAACAAGTTAATTACTTAATCAAAGGCCGAATATTATCAACTGATTTCAACTTCCGCCATATGCGGAGCCATTTTTTTTCCTCCTTCGCCATCTTCTATCCTATCTTTCTGTTCTCTCATTCTGCTTGAAGCGTCCTTCTTTGAGACACGGAGTTCTGACAGCCAGAACGCAGCACGAACTTTTCATGTTAATCTCGGCATATATCGTGTTACCTCGGTATAAGACTTTTGCTTTCAGTTTATAAAACTTTATTTTTTTCATTTTATGAGTACTAGCGGAAGTACCTGATACCAGTTAAGTTAGATTGACAGTAATATATCTAACCACAGAAAGAACGATACCGCTGTAATCCTTCTGTAATAACAACGTAAAAAAAAAAACAATTCCTAGTCATTCATTTTTCAGTCTGATGCGATATGAAACCCACATAAAAAATTCGATAGAAAAATTAACTAATTCTCTCTCATTATATCGGCAACAATAGCACGCAGGTTTTAATAATTTTCGTCTTTCTCATCAAATGGTCGTAAAATTTCAAGTTCCCATCCAATATTTCACCTTATATTCAATTTTAGTCGATTAAATGTGGCCAAAAATTGTTCATAATTGATCGGAAATCAATAAAGTGAACAAACAAATAAACACACATTCTTCTTTACATATACAGATTTCGTAAAACTTACAAATTTTTTATTAACAGACTCTACGATTTGAAAGCGAGCAGTAGCAATACGTTTCGAAATGAAGCATTTTTATGTCCAATTCGCGAGACTGTTGCCACTAGGAAAAATAAGTGCGAAAATTACTGTTTTCAGAGTTTTTAATTAATATCTCGGCTGATTAAAGTCCTACGAAAATGGGAACAGTCGAAATGTCTTCCCATGAATTTTTTGGAATCGGGAATAATGTATTTAATGTTTGGCAATGCTATTTTGATTTCATCGTAAAACTTAGAAATTTTTAATTAACAAACTCTACGATTTGAAATTCAGCAGTGGCAACACTTGTCGAAATAAACCAGATTTTTATCTCCAGCGTGCGAAACTGTTGCCACTCGGAGTAATGATTGCGAAAATTAGCGTTTTGAGAGTTTTTAATTAATATCTCTGATTTTTAGCTTTTTTTGGGGGGGGAAGATTATTAAGATTACATATTTTTTGGATTCCAAAAAAGAATGGTGGAAAGTTTGGTGACGATAGGACTTAGTAAGCTCGAGGCTCTTACTTTAAGAAATTCATGAAGCAATGACTGAATTCCGCGTCGATTTATAATACTTCTGAACTTCTTAATAAGACTACTCTCTCCAGGAAAGGAAAAAAAAAAAATGATGATCCTTGTTCCATATGTAACATCTAAAAAATGCTTTAATATGCAGGAAAAACATGGAAGGCTATCAAATCACTTCCTTCTCATTAAATGAGAGAAGCCAATAAACAAGCGGTAGTCAATTTTGATAATAAGCCGTGTGTTAGATTTTTCTACCAGGAAACTTCTGTCTAATGAACCTCTTTTTACTTGCAGGTGGTCTTGGAATGCTGGCTGTGGCAATGCTTTTCATCGGCGTCGGCATCGGAGTTTCTATAATGTATCTTTACATAAGAAAATACAGCGCAAACAACATTGAAGACCAGCTTGCCTTAGCTAATTCAGCGCCTGAAATCAATTTTCCATTACCATCAACCTCAGAAACTAAAAGCATCTCATAGAACATTTTAATATTGTGATAGTAATTGTATATATTGAATATGTTTCTATTCTGTTCTATATTACTCTTTAGCTGCAGTGGGCACTGCAAAACTGTCATCATTATTACTCTAGAACAGTGGTCTCCAAACTGTGTTCCGTGGATCCCCTGGCCTACGAGAGTCAAACCCCACTTTTCCTCCAGTCAAAATAAAAATTTGAAAAGAAATTTATAAAGCGGTTACACTAATTGACAAGTATTTATTAACTAAAAAATGTAAAGATATTTTACATTTAGTAATAAATTAGGTTTAAAACTTAGTATGTGATCATCCTATGTTCATCACTTTGCAAAATCAAACAGTTTTCTAATGGAAAATTAATTGAATTTAGAGGACAGAGTTAAAAATTATACAAAATAGTACCTTTTTAAATTCCCACTATTAGCTCACACTCTCCCTATATATTGTTCAAATTTTCAATCGTTAATAAAATACCTTTTATTCATCCACTCAAGTTCAAATACATTTTCTTAAACTTGTAGTGGATAAAACTTCATGGTAATACATTTTTTTCACATATTATAAATATTTAAAATTTTTTATTTTAATTTTTTTTGTATTTTTAATTTTTTAAGTTTTATTTTTAAAATTTTTCTTTGTTGACCTAAGTAGGAATTTATAAAAAGTTTATTTAATGAATTATTAATTAATTTTCAATCGTTAATAAAATACTTTTTACTCATCCACTCAAGTTCAAATACATTTTTTTAAACTTGTAGTGGATGACACTTGATGGTAATACATTTATTTCACATATTTATTTTTGTAGTTTTAAAATGTTTCTTTGTTCGCCTAAGAATTGACTGTAAATTATTTTTTTATATTACTTGTTCAATTGAAGAAGTATTTCCCCCACACAGCTGTAAACATTCTAATACCCTTCAGAACAACGTATTTAAGTAAAAAATCTTTCCCAACGTAAGTGGGGGGAAAAAATACAGAAACGAATTAAATTCAGAATATGAAATGCGATTGCAGACAATATCAATAGAACTTGAACAGTTTGTGTAAAAAAAAAAAAAAAAAAAAAAAAAAAAAAAACGCAAGCACATCCCTGCCATTGAATATAATGCAAGGTTACACCTGGAGAACGAGCTAATGAGTAAATTATATTGATTTTGTGGTAAAATTTGGTACTTACGTACTAATGCAACCACCTTGGCGAAATCTGGCGATTTTTTACGGATGAAAATGTAAAAGTTATTTAACATGGGCAAGTTGATGGTTTTCGCTGCCTTCTTTTTTTTAGAAAGTCTCCCAAAGTATCGATATTTATAGTAAGTTTGGTAAACAATATATATATAGGAAAAGCAAACATACTTTGGCAATTTAAAATTAACAAATTTGAAAAGGACTATCTCACACATTTAAAAAAATAAAACATTTGCATTCTTCTTCGAATCTTTCTCTATTTTTTTCCCCTTATTCTTCACCCGAAGTACACAGCGATCTGTTTTCACTTAAAAATACATCAGACATTTGCAGAGACTCGGCTTCATGAAATCTTCTACAAAAGCGGCTAACTAGAAAACGTCATTGTTCCCTTTAGAAAATTTTCAGCAAAATTCTGTATTGCTGCCGTAATTTTACAGCAGTTTCTTCCATTCTGGCGAATTCCTCAAGCTCATATTTTAAAACTAAGTTTAAGGCAAAAAACATCACGATTTGTGCATAAAAACCGTTGAAACTTGGAATATAACAAAACAGAACACATACGGAGATGGCGGCTGTGCTTAACTGAAACGATTGCTATGAACATGGTGGCCGGATGAATGGTTATACGCATGGTTGCAGAGTTTGGCACTTTCTGGAAATTTGGCTACTTTTACTAAGATGGTTGCGATAGTACGTAAGTACCTAAAATTTTGAATGAAAATTACAATACTTCTCTTTTATTGTCTTTACATAAAATACTTATAACGCATTACTTTACTTTAAATATTATTGTGCGATATATTTTTCTAAATTGGGGACGGGGTTCCCCAGAAAAACCTTACAGTTCTAAGGCTTCTGTGAGTTCGACGTTTCGACATAGTTTGAAGATCACTGTTGTGGAAGATGTTTTCTGAATGTAAAGTGTATTGTATATTAAAAGTTCAAAAATAAAATCAAAATGTGCACAAAAATAATAAATGCTCATCTGTCATTTACTGTTACTTATCTATAAATGGAAGAATTTATAGTTCGTAAGCTATGAAAACTATACCTATAAAGTTCTAGTTAATTTACGTGTCCTTGGCTACTAGACCTTTAATGAAGAGTCTAGTGACTGTTCGCTGGTCTTTTTACAACTATAAGGATGAGTCTGAAGAAGGGTTAAAATACCCTTTTATTCAGTCACAGAAATAATACAGTCGATCCCTTCTCAGAACTTGGAATTTTTCTAAATCAAGATTCTCTAATTTTCAAGAGGAAAGCTTCCTCTTGGGCTTTAACTTAAAATAGAAAATAAGGAACTAAACTAATTCTAACTAGCTAAACATTAACCAAAGTTGCACAAAATAACTAACGGAGTTGGTCCGTAATCCTCACCGACGAATAATAGCAGTAATATAATGCTGCGTTTAGACGACGGTATAAAAGGTATAAGTGGTTTAAGCGGAGCTGCGTTGCCAAGCAACAAGTTTGTGCAACATTACAAATCTGGTTAAGGGCTCTTGGCACAAAGTTCGAAGTTTTCAAGTTTATGCCGACTTGGGATTAGCGCCGACTAGTCAGAGCGAACGCGCGAAACCTGAATGGGAAAACAGAGCGGTAAAACTGTAGACACATCTACGCATGCGCAAATTTAGCTTCTCTAAGTGGGTGTGGCTTAGATCCTGTGTCGCAGGTCTGAACGGAACTCCCGCATTTTATTCCTTGTGAATATCTGACATTTACTTCGTCGTCTGAACGCAGCCTAAGACCAATATGGCTTTGCCTAAAACTACGGCTGAACGTAGTAAGATAGGCTTAAAGCAATGACGTGGCCCGAAGGCAGAACACGCTCTACTGACAGCCTCTGAACTCTTCTCTGGAAGTCACTCAACTTCCCATTAAATAACGGTTCTACTTCATTTACATAAACGCAATACTGAAATCTCAATCTGGCAGGGAGTTTAGTGGAAACAAGATTTAGCAAAGTCTTTAAAATTAAAAAGCATTAGGGTAAAAAATGCTACTACTAAAAGAAAATAAATTTCAAACAAGTACGCGTTTGAATTCCCCGAAATTTTTAGAATCGAACTTGACTGTTGCACAATCCAATTTGGTGGTCGTGTGTGCTTAATGCATGATATAATTAAAGAAAATAAGAGTAGACAATCTCCTATAACAAAAGAATATATTAAGTACTAAATTACAATTTAAATTACATTGCAGAGATCAACACAGAGCTCGGAACACAGTTCATGCTACCGTCGCGTACAGTTGTCCTGACGAGAAGTCTGAGTGAGTAATGACGTCGCTTTGCTGCTCCGATTAAGAACTGGATTTTACACGTGGCGCCATCTCATGAATAGAAGTTGAAGTATCTGTCGGAACGCCACAGTACTCCCCCCCCAAGTACCATCGGTACGTTATAAGTACTTTGGGTTAAATTTAACCTTTCTTCCAGATCTGGTAGTTTTAGGTTGCTCTTTAACGGGATGTAAGCTTTCTTCCGGGAGTGATGTTGATGAGGAAGTTGTTGGATCTTGCATTAGAAATGCTGGTTTGAGACGATCGATTCCAATCACTGATTGTTTGCCATTGCAGATGATGGTGAAATGTTTCGGTGTTCGTTTGACAACTTTGAATGGACCATCATATGAAGGTGTTAAAGTTGGCTTAATTGCATCGTTGCGCACGAATACGTGCGAAGATGTCTCAAGCGCAGGATGTACAAAATAGCTTGGCTGGTTATGCGAAGATGCTGGGGTTGGCGAGATATTGCTCATGGTCTCACGTAAACGTTGAAGGAATGTTGGAGGGTCGATAACTGGAGTAGATTCTGGGTGAAAGAATTCACCTGGCAGACGGAGGGTTGCACCATATAACATTTCAGCACAAGTGCTACCAATGTCTTCTTTGAATGCTGTGCGAAGACCAAGCAAGACTAGGGGTAAGGCTTCTGTCCAGTGTGTGCTACTGTGGCACTTCAGACCTTGTTTGAGAGATCGGTGAAAGCGTTCCCATTCCACCATCCCATTTCCAGATGGATGGTATGGTGTTGTGCGAATATGGCGAATGCCAAGAAGAGAGGTGAGGGATGCGAACAAGTGACATTGAAATTGTCGGCCTTGGTCAGTAGTGATGGTGGTAGGCATGCCAAATCTTGAAAGCCACTGGGAGATGAATGCTCGAGCTACAGTTTCAGCGGATATATTTTCAATAGGAATGGCTTCAGGCCATCTTGTGTACCGATCAATACAAGTGAGGAGGTAAGTGTAACCATTTGAAGGAGGCAATGGGCCAACCAAGTGCACATGATCAAAGCGTCTTGCTGGAAGGTTAAATTGTTGAATGGGGCTGTGAGTGTGACGGGACACTTTACACCGTGAATCTATACATCAAATTTCCATTCTGTGATCGCCAACGCAGCGTTATGCGTGTTAGCAAGAATCCCTCCGCTCCATATAATAGCTCAAATCGAATTCTTAAAGTCAGCGGTGCTCTCATTAAGGAAAAGTTGCGTGCTATGAAATCAGTATTTAGATTCAGATAATTATGAATTACCGTCTCATCCAACATGACGCACAACAAAGAAGAACTGCATTAATTTCCCTAGACTGATGTGGCGCCCAACCTTTGGCTTCTCGCGAGCACATCTCCAAAACATCAACATTTTTGATAAACATATTTTCAATCTTATGTGATACATCTGAAATATTAATTTCGGCAAATGGGTTGGAGATGAATAATAAGATTTGTTGAACTTTCTGTAAAACAGAGAAGCAGAGTTCAAAATTATTTTTCAGTGCATTTTAGGTTTTCCGAGTATTTCTCTGTTTCAATTGCCTTGTGGTTATTAATATGGCTTGATAAATTCTGAAAATGGGTGACATTTTTTTCTTTCATCTGATTAACTCACAAATTTAACTTTATCTGAAGCAGTTACAGTCCCGTCCCAGTCAATTGAAAAAAGTTTTTTTTTTTTTTTTCTCCTTTTCCCTGGAGATCTTCGTTCAGTTTAGCTGTTATATCCGTGAGAAAATACAGATCGGATAACCAATTATCATCGTCCAATTCTTTATAACTTCCGTTTCCGGATTCCAAAAATTGCTTTATTGGCAAAAGAAG